CTACAGTAGCAAATGCCCCACAAATTCCTGCCAGGTATTTGAGGACTGTCACCATAGACTTGAATGGGGAGGCGTTGAAAGGCTTGCGGTGACAATGAGGCGTCAATTTTGACGTAACACTAAAGCTTCAGTGTGAACAACATTGTGTGCAGCCATGTGTATAATTTTCATAGGTGTTTGAGGAATGTTAAAAACACCCCTAAAATGCCTGCAAAAAAAAAAAAAAAAGCTAAAAAAGAACTGAGCCTGAAGGACAGAAAGATCACACATTATTGCCATCTACAGTACTGTTCAAAACTGACTGATTGCCATACTCTAACTCATCACAAGTAGTTTGCAATAGACCTCCCTGATCTCTACTCAAGACTCTGCTTCTTTGAATTAATTCTAAATCTGACCTGTCATTGCTCTATCCTTGTTCCCCAGATTATTTTACAGTCAAGTCAAGGATTATACCTACACTTCACTGTACTCTAACTGGATGTAGGTTTATTATGCACCTTAGTAAGTGCATCAATGTCAAAAGGCCCCAGCAATAGCTCGCAGAAGAAAAAACTCATAGACTGATCAGTTTATTTAGTTTTCATATATCCTACCTTCCGTGTCCCATTTTAATTCCTGGCTATTCTGGCCTGGTGAAGTCCTTTATAGAGTCTTGGGCTTAGCACAGCCACCCCAGTGCATTTGTTGACTATATAGCTCTGGAGGTTTAGATTTATCTAGTCTATGACTGCTCATTGCTTCACATTGTGTGACAGTGCTACCATTTAAGCTGACCTGGGTGGCTGATAAAATTGTAGGCCCTCTGGTACTCAATTGCCATATACATACTTAGTGCACTACCTTATTTTTTCATCTATTACAGTGTGTTCTAATCCTTCTTGTCTGTTATTTTTAAAAGCATTACTAGACTCCAATTTACAAGATTTTATATAATTGACTGTGTTGGTATCTATTACTGTGAGATAGTATTTTTGCAAAGTATTAAAGTGTTGTTGTTTATCTACTTGTGAAATCAGCCTGATGTGTCAGAGAGTCTGATGGATTTGAGAAGGTTTAAGAAAGCCAGCATCAGAGGACCCATCTAAATCAGTGACTTTTTCCAGGGTGGTGCCCCAATACTAACCATAACAAAGTTAAAGGCTAATTAAACCCATTTCCAAAAAAAAATAAATGGACCCATATTGCAAACAGCAGAAACGTGTATTTATTTGTTTTGCATTGGAGCCTGCAAAGCATTGCAACATCAAAATGCTCTGGCTCCTACAGACTCCCACTCTAGATCAAGACCATAACTTGGTACGGACCTCGTTTATGTTGGCAACAGTTTTACCAAGCTGGATATGGAGGTGATTTATGGACTCTTTTCCTTTTGCTCCGTTAGTGAAAACCTGACTTGGGAATGAGGTTGCTGGGGATGGTAGGGTGGAGATAGCAGAATTCTGAGAGATTTCCCTTTCTTTCTCTAGGGGCTGCCAGGGGCGGACTGACCATTTGGAAACTTGGGCACTGCCCGAGAGCCCGGGGTCAGTAGGGGGCCCCATGAGATGCCCCTGGTACCTTTTTCATAGGCTTTTTTGCATTTGGGCAAGGACATAGGGGCCCCATGATCCTCTATTGCCCGGGGGCCCCATGAGTTGTCAGTCCGCCCCTGGGGGCTGCATATTTTGTGTCAGAAGCAGGAGAACTTTTTTTTTTTTGAGGGGGGGGTGGAGAAAGTAAGGAACATGGAGGAGGAGTAGAGTGGGTCTTTTTCTGCTTTTACCACTGCCAATACACTACAGGTCGAAGCACATTTATGGTTAATTTTCTACAGATCGACTTCTGTTAGGCTGCCCTGTCCAATAAAGCTGCTCAATACTCAATAAGCAACTGCAGCTGATGGCTGCAGTGCTAATCTAAGCGGGGACTCTCCTGACTGTCAGATTACAATACTGCATGGAGCAGGATTCCCCTGTCTACCTCAAAAGTGTGGAAAGGAGAATCAATTTAGTTTTTTCATTCATCCCACTGGCTGAATGAAAAAAAAAAAAACAGAACCATGTTTGGACAGCTTTATTCTCTGGCAAACACTTCTTAGGTGAAGAGGAAGGTAAACTAATTTCAGAATGAAAAACTACACAGGAGAATGTGCCCAATATTACAGTAAAAAAGAAAAAAAGTTGGTTGGCCGCTCATCCAATAAAATTACCTTTATTTGGACATTCAAAATAGACACTTCACAATGTACAAAAGAGGGAAACATAGCACTGCAGCTAACGCGTTTTACACCACCATTATCATGTAATCATAGCTGATACTGAAATGTTCACACAAATATACGTGCATACAGTATACACATACTTGCACAGATGCTCTTAAAGGTCTCTTAACTGTAAGTAGTCTTGTGTGAAACAATAAAACACAGGTACTAGTAATCAGCTGTGTTTCTGAACCCCCAATTAATGGAATAAAATGCTATAAAACCAATAACACAATATAAAATATTTCATATGTAATTAAATTATCTGAATGAACTTCATGAACACACTACATAGGAATATGGAATACCAATATTTATGTATATTCATTACTTACCATACTAACTTGAATGGGTGTCAGCACACCAATAGAACAAAAAAGGAAAGGGAAACAGTATCAAAAACAGGAAAAACAAAACAAGACAAAATATAAAACAAATAAATATATATATATTAGGAAAGAAAGTCAATCTACATTAAGGAGATGTTATCAAATATAAGCACACCTGTTACTCATAATAATATGGAACTTCCCATCCTAAGTAATGTTTGACCCCACAAGTGAACGTGCCTGTCATTAACAAGGTGACAATGCTCCTACTAAATGGTGTAAAGACTTTTGCACTCCTGTGATAATATCACTGGAGCAAAGAGAAGGATTGCAGCTCTTCTAGGGCAAGCTAACTTAAAAAGAAAATACATTTTAAAGGAATTTATTAGGAGAGAATATTTAACAAATGAAAAAAAGATTTTGAAAAGATAGACTTTAAGCAGAAGACAATGTTGCTTTTCTCAAATATAAGTAAAATTATTTTACTTTGATGATTACTGTTGGTAGAATTATTAAACTGTATTAGTGGCCAAAATACACTTGTCTAGTCTATTAATAGTTGTGATTATAATTATGATCATTTTAAATGTATATTTAGTTAGTCAATATTGAAAGATCAAACTGATGTGTGAAATGTTGTACAGAAGCAACAGAGGCCTGGTACAATGCAAAACTGTTATTGAAAGGCAATACTTCCCAGAAATGCTAAAATGCTATAGCAAATGATCTCATTGGAGTAATTTTGTTCTGACTACATTGACATTAGAAATATCCAAGAGAATGACATGACTTTTTCAGGCCTTAGTTAAATTGTCTTCTGGTTGTTATGACCAGTGTTGCTGATCATCACAGTGTTGCTTATTTTCCAAAATCAGAAATGGTTACCAAAAGTATTTATTACCTGTTTTTTTGTTTTTTAATATTTTATGTCACATTTGTTTGTTCAAGTTTTATGATGTGAGTTGCCTTAACGTGCATGCTAAGTGCAATTCTTTCTAACATGCAGTGCGGTTTCCTGGATCCTGGCTGTTGATCTCATTAATAATTCCAGTAGTACTTCCTTACCCTGCATTTTTTGTAGCAGTACACTGTTGCTTGATATTGGTCTATTATAATAGACCAATATTAATTTTGTTTGGGTAGACAGATTAGGTGAACTGTTTATACAGAGTTGAGTACATGTGTAATTCAGAATCAAAATCAACAAGGGATTGATCCATGTGTTGGATTGATTTTTGACCTGATGTGTCATCTCCTAGATTGTAAGCTTCAAGGAGCAGGGCCCTCCTATCCCTCTTGTATTGAACTGTATTGTTGCTGTATTGTCTCCCTTTATATTATAAAGCGCTGAGCAAACTGTTGGTGCTATATAAATCCTGTATAATAATAATAATAATAATACCAATAGGCTAAACGTAATAGATACAGACAAAAAAAATTTGAATATAACACCCACTGTATTAGTTTCACAATTGTACTGTAGAGGGAAACATCAAGAAACATCAAAAATCCATTCTATATACAGTATACAGTATAATAAACATAAAAGTGCCACTAAACTTAGTTTGGTCCATTCAATGCCATTTTATCTGCACTGCTCACATGTGGTTTGTATTGTAGACTATTTTCATATTCTACTACACTTTAGCTAGCTCATGCATTTAAAGCTCTAAAACAAAAAAAAATTATATATTGCAGCTTACCAATCCTTAGTATGTTAGCTGCATTAGTTTTCGCCTGGTGATCCAGCCAGTAACACACTTCCTGTATTAGGGTGTCCACATTCTGGATGAAGAGGGTAGTATTAATCTGGACATAGATGGATCACAATTTGTCCGGTTCAGAAGGGACTAGCTGAATTTGATTTGTGTATGGTCTTCCCTGGTTAATATAAGTCAATTATAGATTGAATTTTGTTGACCAGACACACTGGAAAACGTTCGTTGATCAGCAGCTGCAGCCAATCAGCTGCAACCATTGACCCGTGATTCTGATAGCAGAGAGTCCCAATGTCAGAATACAATATCCCGGCAGGGGAATTCCCCCATCCATCTCATTTGTGTGGATGGAGGAATCTGTTCCTTTTTTTTATTCAGCCTTCTGCATGCGTCTTTTACATGAGTAAATAAAAAGCTGAGCATTGTAAGCACTCCTGTCAGTGTTTAATGGTTTGTCTTGACCCTCTAACTAATTTTGTCTGGATAGCTTAGTCTATTAAAATTAGTTGAAAAATAACAAACCAGCTGAGAATAAAGAAAAAAATCTCCTAAAAAAGAAAAATAATGCAACCACCACATTAACCAACTTCTGCCCGCCATATAGTATAATGATGGGCGCAAGGTGCTTCTCTCGTTCTGAAAGGATGTCATATCACGTCCTTCTCACTGCGCATGCGCGGTTCAGGGAGCGCACGGCGCAGCGATTGCCAGTGAGCTGTGTCCCTTGGACACAGCGGATCACGGAAAGAGCCAAAGATGTTGGCTAGGTCATGTGATCAGCTGTGTCCAATCACAGCTGATCACGTGTAAACACGGAAATGCCGGTTATCAGCATTTCTCTCCTCTCAAGCTGTCACACTGACAGCTTGAGAGGAGAGCAAGTAATCGGCTTTTCGCGGAGGGGACATGTACACTGATCATCAGGGCAGGATGATCAGTGTGCCCTGATGATCAGTGTAGCCCCAGCAGTGCCACCTGTCAAAGTCCATCAGTGCCAGCAGTCAGTGCTCATCAGTTCCACGTGCCAGTGCCCATCAGTGCCACATCAATGCCACATAGTGCATACCAGTGCACATCAATGCCACATATCAGTGCCCATCTGAGCTGCCTTTCAATGTCACCCATCAGTGCCAGTCAGTGTCACCTATCAATGCCAATCAGTGCCATCTATCAGTGCTGCCAATCAGTGCCACCTATCAGTGCCAGTCAGTGCCGCCTATCGGTGCCAGTCAGTGCCGCCTATCGGTGCCAGTCAGTGCCGCCTAACAGTGCCAGTCAGTGCTGCCTAACAGTGCCAGTCAGTGCCGCCTGTCAGTGCTGTCTATCAGTGCCGCCTATCAGTGCCATATATCAGTGTCATGTATCAGTGCTGCCTTTCAGTGCCCATCAGTGATGCCTGTCAATGCCCATCAGTGCAACCTACCAGTGCCTCCTCACCAGTGCCCATCAGTGCCATCTATCAGTGTCCATCAGTGCAGCCTATCAGTGCCCATCACTGCAGCCTCATTAGCGCACATCAGTGAAGGAGATAAATCACTTATTTACAAAATTGTATAACAAAAACTAAGAAAAAACTTTTTTTTTTTCAAAATTTTCAGTGGTTTTTGGTTTGTTTAAGAAAAAATAAAAAATCCCAAAGGTGATTAAATACCACCAAAAGAAAGCTCTATCTGTCTCAAAAAATGATAAAAATTTCATATGGGTACAGTGTTGCATGACCACGGAATTGTCATTCAAAGTGTGACAGCGCTGAAAGCTGGAAATTGGCCTGGCCAGGAAGGGGGTATAAGTACCCTGTAGGCTAGTGGTTAAAGTATTGGCGAGCTGCAATTTAATACATTTTTGTTTTTGGGTTTAATACCACTTTAATAGACTTTTGTTAAATATATTTAATAACATATTTTTATATAGTATATGTATACAGTAAAATTATACAAATAGGTTCATAGAATACAATTTCCAATATAATGAACCAAAGGAACTAAGTAAACTAAACTAATATAAACAAGAATGCACCTACTAGAGTCTCCTGTCATCCCTAAACAAGGGAGTCTTGCAAAGAAAGGTTGTGGGGGGGGTGAAAGAGAAAGAAGTGATAGTTGAGGACAAGAGAACGAGAAGATATGAAAAGAATAAAACCTTATGGAATAGAGGGAGTTGGTCTAGATCTTTAAAGAAGAAGTACAGCCAAAGCTCTTTGTGGATAACAGTAGTGTAGTTTGGTTTGAACTCCTGTGACCCGTTTTCAGCTGACAAGTTGACGTCACTCAGCCGGTCCAGGCTGAGGAAAGATCCCGACTTCAAAATCGAGATCCACCTCAAAGTCTGAAGTGACACCTGGGTAAGCCTCTCAGCGAGCTGCTGAGAGCCTGAGCCCAATGCTCCAGTGAGCATGGTGGGGCAGAGCAGAGAGCGGTGACTGACAGTCACCGCTCTCTGCTCAGAGCAGCTGTGAGAACTCAGCAATCAGTGGTCAAGTGATTGCTGAGTTCTCACACTTAGAGCCAGCGGAGGACAGATGCAGCATCAGACCAATGCTGTATCCACCTAGGGAAGTATAAATGGGGGGAAAAAAAGTCCACACTGCTCTTTTAGGTGTGGATTTACACATGTGTGGTGCGAATTGAAGTTCCTATTCACAGTGAATTGACAAAGTAGTTGTTCAGCGGTTCAGGACAGGATTTTTGAATTTGCAATTTGCAAATTTTCTGATTGAGCCAACTGAGCTGAAATCCTAACTGATGACATGTGTGGTTTAAAAATGGTTTCCATAGATAAAAATATAGATATATTGTTGGCAATGAAACTGAGTTGACCAGGTCAGTACTGGTCCAGTTTATAGAGTGAGATTTCTTTGATTATTTCATATGAGGGTGGGGGGCAGAATTCAGATTAAGTGGAATTTATGTTTTTGCTGCATTAACTAGGTACAAGTGATGTGATTTCCTATATACTTACAGTATATCGATTCATTGAATTGTGTAGGGCATAGATACAAGGATCCAGAGACTGAGTAGTGTCTGTTACTGTATGTCTGAAATGCACAGGTGTGTCTGAAGCCAAAAAGACTGAATAAGTCATCCACCAAATATTTATACCAGAGCCCAGTACTTAGTTGAAGTACCAGCATCTGAGACTACTGAGAAAATCTTATGCAATCTTTCATGTATCTTGTTCGATTGGGAGAAAAGCTTGTAAGTGGAGTTAAAATGCATATCTTTTCCCAATCTGTTAAAATTGAAATTGAGCTACAAGGTAAATAAAAGCAGCAAACACATCAACAAATACGCGTTGATTACAAATTAGTAACAAAGGTGCCGCACTAGATATATACTATAAGTATGTCATTCAATAATATGTTCAAATAAATATAAGGAAAACAAAATCATGACTAAGTGTTCAACAATGGATCATCCTCCATCTAGTGCAAAATATGTGAAGTCCAAATAACAGTCTTTAAAAGTTCAAAAGTGAATGGCTGTGAAAATAAGACTCTTTCAGAGACAACAGGATAGTGTCAACATGAACCCGTTCCAGAAGGGGATCAATTTGACCTCTAAATCATAGAAGACGTGATGCACTTGTGTCATAAAGAATGTGCTATTCAGCAGGTAAATGACATCCCATCATTCCAAAGAGACAAACTCCACCATATTAATATAGAGAAAGCCAGAAGACCACATAGTGTAACTTCATAAAATTCCAATAGTTTATTAAAATGAAGTGATTGTACTCACAGACATGAAAATATATACACATATAAATGCAATAATCATAATGAAGTCACAAACAGCGGCTCCTCCCTATGTGTTTTGTCACAACTGACATCTGCAGATGACGTTTGAAGCTGTATGTATCAGTGCGCAGGAAGAGGGTTGCAACACTGGAACTGTTTAAAGCATCGACAAAAGTGATGCATATGTGAATTGGAATGGTTGTCATCCCCTTAGCAAAAGGTCCCTGTTTCCACCAGAAGTATGAGTTAGAATATATACTACATACATACATTTTCATGAGTCATTTGCATTACTATGAGAATCACTACTGGAGAAGAAACATAAACAAACGCTCAATGTAACCTATAGAAATTACATAATGCTATTGTGTCTTTTACGATGCTCATTGTTAAATACTGATACACTCATCATTCAAAAAGTATTTGTATGATCATTTGTACTGTGAGAAAGCCCTGACATTGGCAGCTGAATGTTGCAATCTAAACCTCCCACTCATAAATAAAACCAAAGACTATGTAAGGACTACTGTAATGTAATGAACAAAAATAGATGTGAGAGACTATACATTAGTAACTGAGGAAGGTTCTCTATCTCTGTTAAAGCTGTTTGATTGAAGGATATCTGTTAAATCTGAAATTGGAGGAAAATGTTAAAGCTTATATATGGTCAAAATGTAAAATAGTATTTTCATTTCCACATTATATTTAAATGATTTCTAGCCTATTGCTATAAATGATCTTGATGTTTGTAAAATTACTTTTGTGAAGAACAATGTCCTTTCAGTAGGTACTGCTGGGTCACAAATTTCACATAGCCTGCCTTCTAAACTACAAAGGTGCTGAGAGGAGGAAGTTTGGGAGGTGTGGTCAATACAGGAATCACTGCTTGCAGACAGCAAGGTACCATGGGATGTGTGGGGAAAGAACAAAAAGAGGGCGCACAGGCCTAGTGCATTACCATAAAAAATGTTTAATAAAAAATAATAAAGTAGGTGTTGTACTCACAAACGACAATATAGTCAAGGCACATCATAAAAGAACAGCTGGATCAACACCGCGCTGAGTAACAGTCCGCAATAGGGAGTTTAGACATCCAAAAGGCTGACGCGTATTCGAGGACTTGCCTCTTCCTCAGAGCCCATGGGATGTGTAGTCCTTAGCAGGGACTGCAGCTGCGGCTCAGGGACCTACCATAATATAGGCTCAGGTTACAAGGCTCAGTCCTGGCCAGTGTTCCAGAATCTGAGCAGGGGGACAGAGACAGGAAACTTCCTACTTACTCAGCAATTTAAAAAACAACTTTCTTTCCCTGGGTCCAATTTGTTCAGTGGGGGGCAGGGTGAGAAAGGGACTATTTTATCACATTTGGATGCAGACGAAGTAATACACAGTGGCTGCCACCAATTAAGTTAAAGTCTTGGCCTGCTTTGGTGGATTGATATAGAAGTGGCCATGACTTTACCTTAATTGGCAGCAGTCGTGGTTCAAGGATTACTAAGCTTGCACCTAAATATGATAACATAGCCCACTTTCTCAACCTGGCCCCAAGCTGAATAAAAGGGTGAGAAAAGTAAAGAAGAGAAAGGAGCAGAGAGGTGAATGGTGAAGAAAGGAGGAGCATAATCAGTGATTAAAAAGTATACTCCAGTCTGTCCCTTGAGAGGCATCTTGCCCAGAACACAGCATAGAAATGATTAAGCCAAAGCAGAGTTGAGGGTGAAAAGAGGAGAAGGTGAGGGGAAGATAAAAAGAGAAAGGATAGGAGAAAAAATGAACAAAGATGAGGGGAAGGGTGAAAAGAGGAGAAGTAAAGGAAAAGTGAGAAGGAAAAGAAAAGGATGATGAGAGGAGTGGAAAGGAAAGATGTGGTAGGGAGAGGGGGAGTAGAAGAGTGAGGAGAGGTTAGTAGAGGAGAGGAGAAGGATGAAGGGGTATATTGAGATAGGTGATAAGAGAGATTGATGAAAAGAGTATAGGGGAGAAAATACAAAAGATGAGGAGAGGGTGAGAAGAGGACAGCAAGGAAAAGGGTTAAGGAAATGGGAAGAGAGGAGTGTAGAATGTATAAAAATGGAAAAAGATTAGGAGAGGAGATAATAGGGGAAAAGTTAGGATGGGAAAGGAAACGGTTTATGAAAAAATGTAAACAAAAGATGGAAGTAAAAAATTAAATACTTGTCTTGATTAGTGGTAGTGCCCATTGCCTTTCCGCTCCTAGATCCCCACTGAACAAAAGGGGCCCAGGAAAGTTGTTTTTGAAAAAACCCAGATTCTTTCACAAGTAGGGCTCTGGGAGGAGAATGGAGTGACAGAGAAATGAAGCGATCGACTGCATCTCATGTAAGTGCCTCTTACCATAATGTGTTTCTTTTGTTACTTTCACTTGTATATAAA